AAGATTACCATTAAGATATTTAAATCTATATCCTTAGTGATACGATCTGCCTTGCAAATAATTTTCAAAAAAATGATTTGACAACAAAATTTTTATTGGCTCTTCCCACTCCATAAAAAAATTTCAGTCCCATTCTTTGGCTTCTTTAAAGTGAAACACTTCTTTCAAACTTAAGAAAAAGAAATTTTGCAAAAAAGAAATTTTGCAAAAAAGTTTCAATGATGACAAAAATAAGGGGACATAATGTCAAATGTTGCTCAATTCCCTTGAATTTTCTTAGGCTTTATGGAGCCTTAATTGATGGACAAGAAGGCTGCTGTTTGTTTATATTTGTTTTTGTCTCCAGGTTAGAATATATTTTTCATACACCTGTATTTTTGCTTTATTTTTCATTTCCTTCATCTCCCCTTTCATTTACACACAAAAGCTTGGAGTTTATAATTTGGGAAAAATAATAGAATCACAGGGAAATACAATCGAATGTACCCCCAGAGATTTGACATAAATAATTTTAGATCAATCAATAGCTCCTTTTTTTGTTTGTTTGTTTAGTTTTGTTTTTGCATTTTTGGCCCGGGCTAGGTTTGAACCCACCACCTCCAGTACATGGAGCCAGTGCCCTACTCCTTTGAACCACAGACGCCGCCCTGAGTAGCTCCTTTTATATCCAGAAATAATGTTACCTTACACCTTACAGTACTTTACAGTTTAAGGTACTTTCCCACACAGCATCTACTTTAACCCTAAAAATAATTCTGTTATAGGCATTTCTGAGTATAGTAAAAGATCCTCAGGGCCACATGTGGTGGCTTATGCCTATAATCCTAGTACTCTGGGAGGCTACGGCAGGTGGATTACTTGAGCTCAGGAATTTGAAACCAGCCTGAGCAAAACTAGCCCTCCCCCAACCCCGTCTCTACTAAAAAAAGAAAAACTAGCTGGGTTAGTGGCACACACCTTATACTCCCAGCTACCTGGGAGGCTAAGGCAAGCGTTTGAGAGATGTAAGCCCAAGAGTTTGAGATTGCTGTGCATTAGGACACCACAACACTCTACTGAGAGTGACAAAATGACACTTTGTCTCAAAAAAAACAAAAAGATCCTCAGAAGGATAAAGTAAATTTCTTAGAGATAGCAAATGTTGAAATAGAAATGCAAACCCAGAATTTCTTACCCTTTATCCATTTTGACTTCAGTTTTTCATTGTTTTAGGAAGAATTGCTAACATTTTCATTAGTAACTTAGTACCTGACAGCTCTTGCAGTCCTGATACTGTTCCAAATGCCTACTGTAAGTGCATCTTGCTGAAAATGAAGATGACTAAGTTCCTATCACATGAGTAACTTTTCCCAAAGTTAACTTCCCATAGAAGAAGAATTATCATAGTTTCTAAATCAATGAAAAGAAATAAGGCCCTTCTTCTCAAAAACTGTATTGTCTAGAACAGGAATCAGCAAACTTCTTCTGTGAAAAGAAAGATGGCAGATATTTTAGGCTTTGTTAGCCAGAAAGGCCCTATGAAACCACTCAGCTCCACTGTGTCATAAAGGCAGCCTTGAGCAATGTGTATCTGAATGGGCGTGGCTGTGTTCCAATAAAACTTCATTCAGAAAACAAGAGCAGGATGGATCTGGCCCAGGGCCTGTAGTTTTCTTCACCCTAGTCTAGATGATATTCACTTCTATTCACTTTAGGAAGAAGGATAGTAAGATCTAGACTGTCCTTACTAAAGCACTGAGAAATATCAACCAGCTGAGAAGTGGACATTTTTATATCTTAGAGTGTTTTTGTTTTGTTAGGGTGGCTGCTCTGGTAACGTTATAAGCCTGTGTTCCCTAGCCTCTATGACAAGAAGTATTATTCTTGCCTCTCATTACAGGAAAGATATTTGCACACATCCTTTAATTCCACACATGCCTTCTGGCTTCTTATTATGTCTTGTGCTGGGAACACAGAGATGAGGAAGGCTCATTGGTGGCCTTCTAGAAATTTCCAATCTGGGGAGGACATGGGAGAGGAGGTGCTGAGGACAGTGTACCGAATAAATAAATAATACCATACAGGAAAATGTGAAGAGGACCAGCAAGGAGGTGTCACCAGAGTGCACTGAGTAGACAGTGGCAGGAGAAAATGACTTTGTCCTGGGCAAGTAGGGTGACATGATAGGAGCGGATGACATCTAGCCAGGCCCTGAGGAATATGAGATCCCAAAAGGGGTCTAGGGAAGGGCAGGTCAGGAAGAGGAAAACAGTGGGCACACAGGTAGAGATGCAGGCTCTGTGCCAAACACACTGGAATCCCCTGTGCCCGGAGCAAAGGACAGGGAGGAGAGGGAGAAAGGGGAACTGGAAGTCCAGCCTGTCCTTTCTGAGAGCCTGGCAAAGCTGAGGTGCTGAGATTTTATTCCACAGCTTAAAAAAGCCTGGGTTGCTTGTTGTTGTTGTTGTTGTTGTTGTTGTTTTGAAACAGAGTCTGATTCTCACATGCTGGGTAGACTGCCTTTGCATCAGAAGTCACAGCAACCTCATACCCTTGAGCTTAAGCAGTCTTCTTGCCTCAGCCTCCTGAGAAGCTGGGACTAAAGGTGTGCACCACTACACCCAGCTAGTGTTTCTGCTGTTAGTAGAGACAGGGTCTCACTCTTGCTCAGGCTGGTATCGAACTCCTGAGCTCAAGTAATCCAACCACCTCGGCCTCCCAGAGTGTTACAATTACAGGCTTGAGCCACCTGTGCCCAGCCAAGGCTGGCTAGTTTTTGAGGAGGCACAAAAGTAAAATGAGAACTGGGCTTTACTGAGAGAGCATCAGCAGTAGTGTGGGGAAAGCTAGGTTCAGTAAATGAACCTCTGTGTACTGCAGAACAACACTGCTCCCGAGAAATATAATATGAGCCATGAGCCACAAATGCAAACCATGTATGTGACTTTAAAGTTTCTTGTTAGCCACAATTTTTAAAAGTAAAAAGAAATGGAATTAGTTTTGATAATACAATTGAATTTATCCGAAATATATTGATTCTATATGTAATCAACATATGAGATATTTAATCTCATGTTTAATGAGATATTCTTTACCTCACTCTACGTCTTTGTAGTCACAGTGTCTAGTGGCTGCCAGCCCGGACCGCGCAGTTCTAGAGCCTGTGAGAGGCTGGGCCTGCAGGAAGGCGTCAGGTGGAGGTGACATCAGAAGGTGGATGCTTGAGGATGCCTGGCTGTTTATTTTGCCAAGTCCCCTTGAGCTCTTTTAGAATAATCATCATGAGAATAATTTCTGTGCCTTTAAAAATCAACTATTCATAAAATTCTAGGCAGTCTTAGAAAATACTATTCTAGCTAAAATAAAGGTAAGTAAGCTATTAAGGTAAGTAAAATCTCAAACACTCTACAGTATAATTGCAATGGTTTTAATAGGGAATTTGAATCTTAAAAATTGTTCAACTGGAAAGAAAGTCTCTTATTATTTTGTGAAACCTTCCAGTTTTACAAATGGCAGAGATTTAATATCACTCAACTAGGTAGTACTCCTGGGGCGCCTCAATTTTCTGAACATTTTCAGGATTATTCTGTGTGTGGTATGCGTCTGTGTGTGTGTGACAGCGAGAAGAGACAAAGACAGAGTGAGGCAGCAGAGATGAAGTGGGGGGAAGGACAACAAAAGCCTTACTGAGAGGCTTTTTCAAGCTACGGTTGCCAAGCCCTGCCGTGACCTACCTAATCAGAGGCTGACTCACAGCCGGATTAATGAATGCCATTGCTCATCTACAAAGAAAGCTGTATTATCGCTGGAAATGTCACAAAACACAGAAGATGTTTTTTTAAGCAGAATTCCTGAAAGGTAAAAAGATTGTAAGGAATTCTTTATTAAACTGCTCAGCGTGCTGGCATTAGGGGCAGGAAAAGAGAGGGATCAGAGTGGGAGTGCAGGACACAAGGACAGTCCTTGGAGCACGCGGGAACCCCAGGGGCCACCATAGTCCTGTGTCAGAGAGAAGACCCGGGGAACTGCAGCCCTGTCTCTGTCACTGTGGTTTAGATATGTCTGTGTGTGTAATGTACCAGCAGTCCCCGAGTTACAGACATCCAATTTACAAACACAGCTCATAGGAACAGAGGCTATTAGAGTAAGTCCCCCAGTTACAAACATCTGACTGATGTAGGACTCGCACTTACAAAAGGGGGCTATTACAGGAAACAGGTAAATGTGTGTGTTCCAACTGATGTACAAATTCAAATTAAAGACAAACCTACAGAATCTGTCTTGTTTGTAACTCTGGGACTGCCTGTGTAGAGTTCCGGGATGACAGTAAGTGGCCATACCAGACAGGTGTGCTGAGACTGTCATCCGCCGTCTTCATCCTTTAATCCTTCACCAGCAGCAGCAGCTTCTTATCAAAAAAAGAAGGAAGTGGATATTTTTAATATCATTTTAGGCACTAATCTATTAACTTGATGTCAATGTCAAAACTATGAGCTGTCCATTTGTCTGTGGATCTAGCCGGGTTGCGCAGTCTGAAAGGCTTTCCATGTGATCTATTTTGAACTCCTCCTCACCAAAGGGAAAACTACTGTAGCAGTATTTAAAAATTTTTGACATGGATGCCAATAACCTGGGGGTTTACTGAAATGCGCATTCTGAGGCCTTGGTCTGGGAGGGAACCTGGGATCCCACATTTCTAACAAGCCTCTAGGTGACGCTGGCGCTGCCTGTGTGCGCCCCACACATCACACGGTAAGGCCCCAGAACATCAAATATTTATCTGAACAAAGTAAGATACATATCCTTAGGTATTTCCTCCTTTCACGGGAAGGAAATACCTTCCTAAAAGCTAAGCTGTATTCTTAGCTTTAAGGCTCGTGGTCTATTCCCTCGGAGGCCTGGAATTTGAAAAGAAATGAGGAATTAAGAGCTCACAGCAGCCTGAGCTGCGGATCCTGCCTGGGAGCGCCCCTTCCCTTGGAGGCTCCTTTCTCTTCACCCTTTTGTCTCTCTGCCTTTAGGTATCGAAGCTTGAACGAGAGAAGACTCAAGAAGTGAAGAGGATTCGGGAGCTGGAGCAGCGCAAGCACACGGTGCTGGTGACGGAACTCAAATCCAAGCTCCACGAGGAGAAGATGAAGGAGCTGCAGGCCGTGAGGGAGAATCTCATCAAGCAGCACGAGCAAGAGATGTCAAGGACGGTCAAGGTGCGAGACGGGGAGATCCAGAGGCTCAAGTCGGCGCTCTGTGCTCTCCGGGACGGCAGCAGTGACAAAGTAAGGACAGCGCTCACCATCGAGGCCCGGGAGGAGGCCCGGAAACTGTTTGACGCGGAGCGTCTTAAGCTCCTGCAGGAAATCACGGACCTGAAAACGGCCAAGAAGCAGGTGGACGAGGCTCTGAGCAATATGATCCAGGCGGACAAAATCAAGGCTGGGGACCTTCGGAGCGAGCACCAGTCCCACCAAGAAGCCATCTCCAAGATCAAGTGGGAATCGGAGCGGGATATTCGCAGGCTGGTTAGTACAGGAGTCCCCCGGGCCAGTGCGGACCTTTTCTTCCAGGTCTCAGAGCGCCATGGCACCTCCGTCCTCAGGTGTCCCCTTGCCAGTGGGTGGTGAACAATGCCTGCCTTCTGCCAAGCGCTCTACCTGAAATACAGGGGAGAGTGATAGGTAGGTAGGTAAGTGGCTAGGTAGGTAGTTAAATAGCTAGATCCACTCAGGCCCAAAATGGAATTGTAAAGTAAATGGTAAGAGATTTTGGAATCACCTTTCTCAAAAAAACTACATTCTCCCAGCCCCACAGATAGGAAGAGTATCTATCTGTTCAGTGACTACTGCTCACTCAGGTATTTATTAAAATACTCTAAATTATGAACTCATCCAAAGTCAGCATGTTTTTGTGGGCCTTCCATTTATAAATTTAATCTTACAGGAATTTTTTTTAGAGGGGTAGAGGAAATTTCAGTGACTTTCAAGATATCTGAAAATGCCACCAGGAACATCCTCCACGACCAGGAGTCTTTTTTCCAGAAACTGTATCCAGAAGAAAGCTGCACATCTATAAAACCCTTGAGCATTTCAAAAATAGATCTTTTCCCCATAATAAACAGGGACCACTTGAAACAGGAGCCATTAAACTTTTTCACTTGGGTGTCATTCCCAAGTAGCTTGTTTGCTGTTTATAATTTCTAAGACTTGCCTCCGCCCCTGCAGAGTTGGGTCTTTCCTCCTAACGTGGATGACCAAAAGCCACATAGGCCTCTCACCAAGCTTAAAAATAAAACAAATGTAACTATCATCTGAAAACTAGAATGTCCTTTTAGCCTTATCCAAGTAGAGAAGAAAAAAATACTTATGTTCATCTACACTCAGATCTTCAGCATTGGTTTTATCTTAGTTGTATCTTATCAAATTAACCATCGCCTGTTAGAGCGTTCTTTGTGTTTCTCTAAAAATAATGTTCTCTTAGGAAAAACTATGTTTCCTTTTTTCATGTTCCAATTCTAAACGATCACTTCCTGAGAATCTCAATTATATTCCTTGAATGATATCTCTAGGATTTTAATGTTAAGTTCAAAGCGGTAGAACATTTTTAAAAGCTAATGTGTAATTGTCTTTGTACTGTAATACGGTGTGACTGTAAAATATTACCTTTGCCACACTTTCTGAATTCTTTATCTGCAGTTTATTCTATTGCACTGTTTGACAATAAAAACCAAACACAGTGCAGAAATATTGATCTCTGCCCTGCCTTTGGTTTTTGAAATGACAATGGCTGAAGAAGAATAAATCGGGACTTTGAACTCTGGAGTCAGCAGGTGGGTAAATGAAAAGGAAGCTTGCATGAAGTATTTTGTTTGTTCACGGTTTTCAATGTAAAATCTGTAAGTATATCCACTTGTTAATCTAAATTTTTGCCATGACATTTTTTTACCAGCATATTGCTGATGTAGGTCCCAAACCCCTTTTAATGATAGTGTAAAATCCAAGTCACCTGAAGAATAGTTAACAAAAAAACTTGGGTGTAAAGAGAATAACATAGAAAACTTTTTCAAGAATGCAGATATACTTATCTTCATTTTTCCCTTCTTATTGCCTTGTTCCTATCCCTACCCCCAGCTCCATTGCTGGAACCAGAAGGGAGAAAAATGGGAACCCTTCTGTCTGGAAAATCTCCCCAGAGAATTCTGGCATGTACCCTTTCCTATCTAAGAAATAGAGCTTTGGCTAATTTTCAATATTCTGAGCTCACAGCCCATGCTCATAGCCACTCTGCAATAAAGCCTTCTCAATACTAATTATTAGGTACCCCATAGGAAACCACTTTCGGAAATGCAGGAAGGATGTAATAATCTCGGAGCCAGTAGAATGGGCTTAACCATCAGAAGATCGAGTTAAAAATCAGGCTTCACCATTTACTAGCCAATTTACTTTGACCAAGTTTTTATACTTTGGGGTCTTCAGTCATCATCTGTAAAATGATGATAACAGAACTTACTGAATAGAATTGTTATAAAATAAGGTGTGCAAAGTTCTGAGTATAGTGCCTTGAACATAATAAAAGATTGAGAAATTTCTGTTATGATGATGGTGACGGTGGGGATGAACGTAGGCAGGAATGGAATGCATTCCCAGCAAGTTCATTTAGAATCAGCTGGAAACATGCAGATCTGGAGCTTTGTTGAACTATAAATAAAAATAACACGCTAGATGACAGGTCTGACAAATGAAGGTGCCTCTCAGTTAAGAAAAACACTGGACTCGCGTCTTCTCAAAGAGATAGAAACTAAAGACAATGGACAGTATTTAATTCCTTACCAAGTTATCAGATGATATTACAGCGTAATGTGGAATTTAGCCTGATGCCCTCCCAAAATTGACCTAGAAGTTAATCATGCAAATTAGAGGCAACAGCATGTGTCTAAGAGCACAGTAAAGAAAGATTTATACAAAGTGACGTGTATGAGGGAACATTATTGGAAAAAAGGAAAACAACATCATGGTGTTTGTATTAAATATCTTTTCTCCATCTCCATTCTGAATATTCGACAGAATATAATGAAATAAGAAGAAAGCTTTCACCTAATGGTTCTGCTCTCTTTGAAAGTTGTTTACAGTCATTCACATCATTAGCCTTCATCCAGGGATGGCAGAAAGGTTTCAGTCCCGGAGAACTCTGTTAATAGGTATCAAATGCCGTTAGTTGAAAAATACTTCGGAGGCCATGCTCAGGCTTAACAGAATCAAGTGTTAAGATCCATAAGTATATCCCACAGATACATAGATGGGGAGAGAGTGGTTCATATTACCAAATATTTTCCATCCCCGTAGTCCCAAAGTGGTTTTCTGATATCAATTATAAAGTAGTTGCTAAAAACTGGCTGAAATATGCCTGGGAATGTAAAAAGCCATGAAAGATCCCTCTCCAAGTCTTTGGAAATGACTACGCCACTGAAGTCTGAGCTTCAGTTTCTTCAATTACACATGACCTACTAATAGTGGCAACTGCTATTTGAGTTGAACTTGAATTCCCATTCCCCAAAAGAGAAGATAACATCAAAAATTATCCTGGGGAAACACTGTTAGTGGAATGTTTAGTATTCATCTTTATTAAGATTAATGACCCATTTCAGAGTTAGGCTTTTCTTTCCATATCTAATCAACCCAGACCATTTCGAACCATGTATTGAAACAAAACATCTACACAGGATATACTAGAAAGAAAAAAAAAATTACTCTCCTTGACATCTAATTAACCTGGGATAACCCTTCATTACACAATGTTACCTTATCTTACTCATGAAGCCAACACACTTAATACACTTTGTTACAGTAATGATTTTCTAATACATCAATCAGATGAAAGAAGTAAAACTCACAGCACAGTAAAAATGTATTTCTTTACAACACTGTTAAATAGTATGTCCTGGGTCTCATTTAATTCAGATGGATGAAATCAAAGCCAAGGACAGGATCATCTTTTCCCTGGAAAAGGAACTGGAGACCCAAACAGGCTATGTACAGAAACTCCAACTGCAGAAGGAGGCTTTGGATGAACAACTCTTTCTGGTCAAAGAGGCTGAGTGTAACATGAGCAGTCCAAAACGAGAAATTCCAGGAAGAGCAGGAGATGGCTCCGAACATTGCAGCAGTCCTGTAAGTCCACTCCACTTGAAGTTGAGAACTCACCAGTCGTCTTCTATTTAACTCCCAAGTTTTCCTTTTCACTTAAGCTCTTTCCTGTTTAATACAAAGAAATCAATTCTACCTCCTGCTATAAAATGAGCTAGTGTCTTGGGAACAGAGTTTTCTAAACTCATAGACAACAAAGTGGTCTGCACTGCATTAGCAGATCACATGAGAATTACAAATGTCTTTAAAGCCTTTATAGACATTTTCTAGCTGGATGATACCTATCCAAACTTATTTCTGTTACAAAAACCATAAGTTAGATGAAAATACTTTCCTCTGGTTAAGCGCTATGTCACAGAAGTATATATTATGTTATGGAAGTATAATAATATTCAATTGCTAAAGTTCTTTTTTGTGAACAATTGGCTTTTAAGTTGGTAAAAATGGGTATCAGCTACAGGGGTCAAAATGTATAACTGTATAAGAGTCACAACCATTTTATAATCTTCACCTGAAAGCTAGTCAGATTGCACTTGCCATTTATACTTCCCTGGATTTTCATCATTTTATATAAGAAATTATTTTCAGAAGTGCAGTAATAGAAATCGGCTTGCATGCAGTTGGATATACGTCTCATACCTTTGAAATTATTTAGCTGCTATAATGATGAACATGTATTATTTAGGAATAGAGATGGGTTCCAAAGAACTACTTAAAACTAAGCAATGAATAATTTATGAATTGGTATTCAGGATATATATATCCTAGTAAGTGGTGGAATTAATACTGATCTAGGGTTTAGCAGATGTAAGTTCCATCACCGACACATACCTGCAATATAGCAAAGTTGTCAAGAGAAAAGGCTCTAGAGTTAGACCCCTTGGCTCAAATCCTGGATCTGCCATGTGTCGTCATGACCTTAGGCAATTCACTTCACTGCTCAGTCTCCGCAAATGTCAGATAGAAGCTACAGTGGTATTCCACAAGGCTGGTATAAGGATGAGAAGAAATGATATATGAAGTGTGGAGCACAGTGTCTGCAACACAGTTAGCCGTCAATACATATTAGTTATTGATCTATTGACATTGGTCACAAGATCTTGAATGAGTTATGACCTACCTGAATTTTACCTGTTTTGCCAAATCCTCTAGGATATTGTGAACCTAGGAATACAATGTGTGTGATACGTTATATGTATCAGTATGATACTATCAAAATGCAAAGATGATAGCAGAATTACAAGCATGTGATAAGAACACTTTTACGTGCTCTGCAGCAGAGAATTAAGCCAATGACTGCTGCATGTAAAGTGAGTTGTGGAGATTCTGCCAATGGACAAGCCAGTTGCACTACACAGAATATACTAGTGAAGGCTGGCCAATAAACTGCTGCTTTTTAATACATGAAGATTATGCACCAACATTTTCTCCTTCTGACCTTTTTCTTCAGAAGAATGCAGGAATCAACAAAGCCCATCCCTGCCGCCTACTCTGTTCCCTCTATGGCTAAGTGTAATAGCCAGGCAGCTGTCTGAGCCGTCGGAAGCAGCATGCAGCGTGACAAAAGGGATGTTCCTTGAACCCTGTGTAATCACAGCATGACCTTGGTCTCACGGCACACAGCTCTGATAAGCTGGTCCAGTCTTCTGAGTGCCCCCTGCCCCAAGTCCCAGCTCTAGGGAGCATCTGCCACATCGAATTCATTTGCATTTTCAGCAGGCTTGGTCTCCAACCCAAGTGGTGATTATTTGGAGTTTAAAAAGAGTAAAATTTACTCTTCTCTGAGTGAGAGAACAGAGTGGAGCCTATTACTTCTATGAGTACTGAGTGCTATTCCAAAATGTTGCAAGAAGTGTTAACTGAAGAAACGTCCATTTTAATTTTCACATGTAGGACTTGCGAAGAAATCAAAAAAGAATAGCTGAATTGAATGCTACTATAAGAAAATTGGAAGACAGGAACACCTTGCTTGGAGATGAACGAAATGAACTGGTGAGTTAAACTCAAAACGGTTGTTTTCTTGTGGTTGTTGTTAGGTGTCATGTCACAGAAGTAAATATGATGTTACAGAAGTATAATATTAGTAAAGGGCACCAATAATAAAGGTTCAGTTCAGTAAATACAAAGTGACACACCATCTAACCAGCACTGAGATGGGTAAGTGGAAGATTACCAGCATCTCGGCACTTCCCCTTGTCACCACCCTAGTCAAATTCACTCGTGTCCTTCCATCACCATAGATGTCTGTCACTTTTTAAGTATTTTTTGTAAATGGAATCATAAGACATTCAGTCTTTGGTGCCTGGCCTCTTTTGCGGCATATGCTCAGCATTAGTTGTGAGATTCATCCATTATGCTGCGTGTAGGGTTCATTCATTTTTTCATTACTCTGTAGTATTAAGTAATATATTGCAATGTATTTATCTGTTCTATTTTTGTTTCTTGTTTTTGGGGGGTTCGGGGGGGTTGAGACAGAGTTTCACTTTGTCACCCTTGGTAGAGTGCCATGGCGTCATAGTTCACAGCAACCTTAAACTCCTGGGCTCAAGCAGTTCTCTTGCCTCAGCCTCCCAAGTAGCTGGGAATACAGGTGCCTGCCACAACACCCGGCTATCTTTAGAGATGGGGGTTTCGCTCTTGCACAGGCTGGTCTCAAACCCATGACCTCAGGCAATCCACCTGCCTCGTCCTCCCAGAGTGCTAGGATTACACGTGTGAGCCACTGTACCTGGCCAGTTTTTTCTATTTTTAGTAGAGATGGGGTCTCAATTTCTGCTCAGAGTGCTAGGATTACAGGTATGAGCCACCATGCCCTATGCTGGCCCTAACCTTTCTCTTATTAATGGACGTTTATGTTGTTTCTTAACACTTATAAGCTGTTAAAAATGGTACTGCTACATGTCTTTGGTGAAAATATGGGCCCATCTCTGGTGCACATATACAAAGGAGCAGAATTACTGGATCTTAGGGTATGCATGTTCAGTCATTATTACCAGTTTTCTCAAGTTGTTTTAACAATTTACATCCCCACCAACAATCAGTGGAAGTTGCAGGAATTTCTGCACATCTTTGCCAACACAAAAAAATAATGTTAATTTAAGCCACTTTGGTGTTCATAAGTTATGTTTTGATAACTGACATTGTGATATTAATTTTTATTTTTCTCATTATTAGTGAGGTTGTGTAGTGGCCTTTTGGACGTCTTTAATGATTTGCCCTTACCCCATTTTCTGTTGTCTTGCCCTTTTTTGTTAGAGACAGGTCTCACTCTGTTGCTCATTCTGGAGTGCAGTGGCTGTGTCACAGCTCACTGTGTCCTCAAACTCCTGAGCTCAATGGATCCTCCTCAACCTCCTGAGTAGTTGAGGCTGCAGGTGTGCACCACTACACCTGGCAAATTTTTCTATTGTTCATAGAGATGGGTCTTGTTCTGTTTCCCAGGCTGCCTCAAGCAATCCTCTCACATTGGCCTCCAAAGTGGTAGGGTTATAGGCATGAGCCACCACACCTGGCATGTTTTTCTTATTCATATTAGGATTTTTTCTTTACATCATTTGTGGGATATTTGCATTTAAAATATCCCACTTTGTGACTTACCCTTTTACATTTTTAATGGCATTATTCAAATAAAGGAGTTATTTTCACCCTTTTCCTTTTTAAAATGCAGTATTTGCATTTTAGGCCATAATTATCTCTCTAAGCTTTGCTTTAGCCTCGTCCCACAAGTTTTGATGTGTCTTAATAAGTTGCTATTTTATTCAGTCTTTTCTAATGTAATTTCTTTCATCCATGGACTACTCAGAAATGTATAGCTTAATTTCCAAACATTTAGAGATTGTGAGTTATCTTTCTTTTCTTTTTTTTTTAATAAATCATAGCTGTGTACATTAATGCAATCACAGGGTACAGTGTGGTGTTTTCATATACATTTTGAAATACTCTCAGCAAACTGCTTAATGTAGCCTTGATGTCATTTTCTTAGTTATTGAGTTAAGACATTCATACTCTGCTTTTAGAAAGATTCACTTGTACCCTTGTAAAATAAACCATAGAGGTGGCCCCACAATCACCCTCCCTCCACTCATCCTCCCCCCTCCCCTTCCCTCTCCCACCCACCCTCCCCTTATTCTAAGGCTATAATTAGGTTATAACATTCCTATGAAAGCTATAAATTAGTTTCAAAATAGGGCTGTGTACATTGGATAATTTTTCTTCCATTCTTGTGATACTTTGCTAAGAAGAACATTTTGTTCCATCCATGTAAACATGAAGGAGGTAAAGTCTCCATCTTTCTTTAGGGCAGCATAATATTCCATGGTGTACATATACCGCAATTTATTGATCCATTTGTGAGTTGATGGGCACTTGGGCTTCTTCCATGACCTAGCAATTATGAATTGGGCTGCAATAAACAATCTGATACAAATATCTTTGTTGTAATGTGATTTTTGGACTTCTAGATATGGAGTTATCTTTCCATTATCACTTTCTACCTTAATTCTACTATAGTACTAAACATACTTTGTATTACTTCATTTCTTTGAAATTTGTTGAGATTTTCTTTATGATCCCAGTATATGGTCAATTTTAGAAACACTACACATTAACATGAAAAGAAGATAGACTTTGCAATTGTTAGTTGCCATTTGATTTGAGTTTGTTAATAGTGTTGTTTAAAATTTTTGTATCCTACTTGGGTGTGGTGCCTTATGCTCAGAATCCTAGCACTATAGGAGGCCGAGGCAGGGATCCCTTGAGTTCAGGAGTTCTAGACTAGCCTGAGCAAGAGCAAGAGCCTGTCTCTACTAAAACTAGAAAAATTAGCCAGGCATTTTGATAGGCACCTGTAGTCCCAGCTACCAGGGAGGATGAGGCAGAAGGATCGTTTGAACCTAGGAGTTTGAGGTTGCTGTGAGCTGTGATGACACCTTGGTACATTAGCCTGGGAAACAAAGTAAGACCCTGTCTAAATAAAATAAAATAAAATCTTCTGTGTCCTCACTAATATGTTTGTTTGCTGTTCTTTCAACAGATTTGTCTATATGTTTTCTTAATCCTGTCAATTTTGCTCTCTATATATTTGAATTCATTACTAGATGCATATAAATTAATATTTATTATGTGTTTTTTGCATATTGACCTTCTTATCATTATGAAATGTTGTCTCTAGGAATATGTCTTGATTTAAATATACTTCTTGGGTATGTATATTTAAATATATTTTTTATAAATATATAATTTAAAAATACATATTTATAAGAAATAAATATGTATTTAGCTTTTAATCTTTCTTTTTTATATTTAAGGTACATCTAGAAAAGGAACATTTTGTTGGGTACTTCAGGGCTGTGGTTAATGATGTATGGAATAGTAGAATAATAGATTTTTTTGTCTTTGTGCTTATCTGTATTTTCTATGAATAGTATATGCTAAATTTAGCCATAGATTAAAATAGGAAACATAGTAGAATAATTTATTTGTCTTTCTTTCTATATAGTATTTCATATTGATACTTCAGGGACCTAAGCTTACGATGTGAGGATTAAATCAGATTATTTAAATCTGATTTAAATCTAAGAAATCTAAGTTTGGTCTTTGATATAAATGACATTTTTCAAACTGAGATTGAGGTGGGGCTGGGGCAGTGCTATTTAGGAACTGCAAGGGGAGCTTTTACAAACATTCATAGGTGGCTAAGTCTCCCACTTCAGCCCCTCTCACAACAGGATTGAATACCTTGAAAACTCTTCCCATATATTTCCGGTACATCATTCCTCTCTGTTCCCTCTTCGGAGCTCCTGCTCCAATCCATATTCACATTCTGCATCATTGGTATGAAAAGGATGAACTAGCCACAAGAACTTTAAAGTGGAGATCTGTTATGTGGGGATCTATTAGGTGGAGCTCTTTTATGATCTAGGACGATCATAAAACATACCACTCAAAATGGAATGTATCACCCATGCCTGTAATCTCTGCAGTCTGGAAGGCAAGGCTGGAGGATCACTTCAGCCCGGGAGTCTGAGATTACCCTCAGTGATGATGATACTAGGGCACTCTTCCTGGGGAGACAGAGTGAGACTCTGTGTCCAAAAAAAAAAAAAAAAATTAAAGTGGGAGACTATTAACAATTACTCCAAGACAACATTCATAAACTTAAGCCAGTGTGTTTCTCAACTAGAGGAGATTTTGGCATTATCTGTAGACACTTTTGGGTTGTCCTAAGTGGCAGGGTGTTACCGGCATCCAGAGTGCAGGGGCCCAGAATGCTGCTGAGCATCCTGCAGTGCACAGGGGAGCCCCCCCCAAAACATAAAACAAAACCCTATCTGACCCAGAATGTCAAGGTTCCCTGTGGCAAAAATGTCTGTTAGGCTAATCAGGAAAATGAGAATACAGTCACTCTTAATTATGGATGAATAACAATACTTTCCTTAGGCTTGGTACAAATCAGATATTCTTAAACACAAACATCAGTGTACCTAAATGTGTGTTTTCCCCTTAATAAAACTGCCATAACGATAATCTTAGAGCGAGTCAGGAGATTTCAGTGAGCTCTCTGAGGCAGAGAACGGGCTTGGGGAGTGGCCAGGACAGACTCAGGTCCTGGCTGCGTCACTTTGGGACCCCATGATTTGGATGAACTCCTTTTTCTCTCTGAACCAATGAGGACATTGCAGGTCCAGGGATTGAGGCTGTGTACAGTGGGGAAGCTGAGGTGGGGAAGCAAAGGGGGGGAAAGAACAGTTATTCCCCGAGCATTTCTATAAGCATTCTCCCCACAGCGCCTCCTTTGAGGTATAGATCCATGCAGGGTCATGATGATTATAATGAGAAGCCGTCGAGAAAAAGGGGAAATGTAGCAGTCAGTCTGCTAAATGGAGGAATGAAGTCTCCGTGTTAGTTCTGAGCAGACAGAGGTGGCTACAGAGGTGCTGTCACCCCACTCTCCCTGTCCCATGTCCCCCAAACACCAGAGACAAATTTTAACTTCTTTCTTCCCAGTTAAAACGCGTGCGGGAAACTGAAAAACAATGCAAACCTCTCCTGGAAAGGAACAAGTGCCTCGCCAAGAGAAACGATGAACTGATGGTGTCCTTGCAACGCATGGAAGAAAAACTGAAAGCCGTTACCAAGGAGAATTTGGAAATGGTGTGTATCACAGACTCTGCAAAACCGTGGCTTCCTTCTTCATATTGCTCCAATACCTGCCTTATTGTTATTTCTCAGCTTATTGTTAAAATACAGTGCTATTTGGATTTTCCCTTATGTAAGCAAGGAAGCTTTAAGGAAGAAAGCAAGAGAAGTTGCTGGCTCTGAATTTTATGGGGTTTCTAAATTTGCAGAATGGTGGGAATGCTTCCAAGAATCTGTTTGTTCTCCAAAAGCTTGGAAATGGAGAAGCAAAGCTTCAACAGAACTCCTCTCCCACAGAAAGCCTACTTCCAAGACTGCACTAGGGTGCTATTTACAGACTTACACACCAGGCACACCTTGTCTTCTAAGATCTTGCACAATCATTGGGAAATAGATCCCATTCCTTGTATTGTGTGGGCAAGTGTGGGCTAGTGTTCTCCTGAATAGACTTCCAGTACATCCATAGAGAACTTCAGACAATTCCCAATGATTTTAACTGACTATCACAGATAAAATGTACCTCAGGACTTTAGTTGGTGTGTGAGTATAAAAGCGAGGTAGTTTTCAAATTTAACTGAAGCCTCATAGACTTTCTAAGATAATTTTATGTTTACAGCTAAAGTTTGGGATTTTTAAGGTCTCCACCTTACTGTCTTCTTTTCCAATCCAGAGAGAAAAAATAACATCCCATCCACCTTTGAAGAAATTAAAATCTCTGAATGATCTCGACCAAGCTAATGAAGAACAAGAAACAGAGTTTCTAAAGCTTCAGGTCATTGAGCAACAGAACATTATTGATGAGCTCACAAGGGTAGGTCTTGGTCAAGTTGTAAACTCTGAATTGTTCCCAATGGCAAGTAGCCAACGAGACATATACTGAAAGCCCTTAACACTTTTGGATAACCCCAGAGGCCCTGGTTTATATGTTTAATATATTATTATGTTTAAGAGACTATATTCCAAATATATTTTATGGTATTAAAGTGCTTTATACCTTTTCAATTATAATCCTTTTTAACTGATTTGATAAATATAAACTACAAAGCACATTAAGAGAACCTTCTAATGCATTGTTATATAAGTTGGCAGGTAGGGCGGGTGTGTCTTTTAATTTCCTTCCAATATCAGGATCCTGAGAATCAGAGATCGAATATGTTGCCTACACTATCGAGATCATATATCCATCTTGTTCCCAACCACTTAATTCAGTCTCTAGCACATAATTACACATTAATACATATTCGTTGGATGTACAGCAACACCATAATTATCAACAGAGCTGAAATCCAGATTTCTGGCCATTACCACAGTACCTGCTGAGCGGGAGGGGCAGTTATTACTCCCGTCTGCACCTGGCTGAGTCTGCACCAGGAGAAAGGGCTGAGACCTCTAGATGCCTTTGGCTTTTCTTCTTTGCTTCTCTGTCTTTATTCTGTGAACGACATCTTCAGTTGTTCTCGCTTCAGGACCAAGCCAAGGCTGAGAGACCTGAAGAACTAGGGGGATTTAAGCAGTTGTGTCCTGAATAGGATGAGCAAGATGATTCATTGCCACTGAGAGAAGGATTATAACTTTTGTTGATAATTACTTATAGTTCATTTTTTTTAATTTTATGTTGATAACACATACACCATATTAGGAGGGTAATCTAAGGATATAGTGTATAAATTTTAAAAGTCTCAGATATATTAGTTGCATGTTAAAAAATATTTTTACTTATAAAAGTAAAAAATAAAAAAGACCAAAACACCACTAGCTTAAACCAGCTTATTTATTAAATGTGGTCTGAAGCGCTCCTTCCCTCACTTTATTTTCACATCCTAATAAATTACAAAACTTACAGATTCATTAGTCCAGGAATTTACCTGGCTTTGAGTAT